GGGTCAAGTGTGATCTCAAGTTGAATTTGAGTCCTCCTTTTGAAGATAAGTCAAATCTTAACTCATGATCATGAAACCTGTCTTCTGTATCATTATCTGCAATGTCCATTGCCAATAAACTGACAAAAATCCATTTAGAAATTATTAAAAAAAAAAAAAAATACAGACCTCTGCCTGAATCTTGGCTGTTTATTATTGTTTATATTTTGTTTTTAGAGTCAAGTCCAAGTGAGATCACCCTTTTTTTTTTTAGGTATTCTAACCTGTTAGAGAGTAAGTCACATTCATTGTAGGATACTAACTGTTATACACTGAGGGACTGAACACCTGCGTTTGTTTTGGCTGAGTGCAACAGTCGTCAATAATCAATCGGTCATAAAGCACCTTAAGGACTGGTTATACAGATAAAGTGACATCATAGATTAACACGGGATTTAAAAGAGACTTCCACACAGAAGAACGTATTAGTCTAGGACATGATCAGTTTTTGTTTTAAGCTAAGTAAATATCGCATCCTGTATTTTTGCCTGCACAATCAGCTACATCTGGTCTTATTTTGTCACTTAAGCTAATCACTGCATTGTGTGGTTAATACAACCACACGTGTCTTTGCTTGTCAAATGGAAGTCACCTCTGAGGCAAGGTGCTTACACATAAGGAAGAAAATCCCCTTAAGCCACTGAATGAATTTTCTTAAACCTGGATTTAGTTGATGTTTGATCAAGACCTTTTCACCCCTGGACAATACCCAGTACTGTAAGAAAGAAAAGTACATAGGTTTAGGAGTATGATCATCACCCGGATTATAGGTAAGATATTATAATTGTGATGTGTCAGACAATTAAGTAAATATTTTACCTTGATAGAGGGAGAAGTTTTATCAAAGTCTGAAGGGAAATCCCGTGAACCTCATATGACTGTGATGTTGAATGAATGAATTTAGATGGCTTTTTTCCTCACAGTCTGTTTGGACACACTGAGGAGGAGTACATTCCTGATGCTGAGAGTGTGTATCTGCACAGGGAACAGCATCATCAGCCACAAGCCTGCACCCTCGCTCAGTGCTTGCAGCTCTACACTAAGGAGGAGCAGGTAGCTTTTTGACTGCACTTCCTGTGGGTGGATGCATACACAGATATACACGCAGTCGATTAGTGCAGCATTAGTAGATGGACATTAGAAAATAAATCTTGAATTAGCCTTGACACAAGTTAGTGGTCAGCATATTTTGAAGTATATCCTCATGTTTGTCTCCTCCTCACTTGTTTATTATTCTTTTGCTAAGGCCTTTCACTTAGTGCTGTTTTACTGTGTATTTAACTCATAATGCTATTTTTGGAATAAGCTAGAAATTTGGAACACAAGCCTATGTATACATTGTGGTTTAACTTGCCTGCAAATATACTAGAAGAGAATAGTGAGAAGGGAGAGAAAACCTACGGCCTTGTCCTGTGTAAGGTCTATTTTATAAGCACTGTGGTTGGAGCTTGTCCTTGATGGCTGCTGCCCGTTTTGTGTGTGTTTCAGCTGGCACCAGACGACGCGTGGCGCTGCCCACACTGCAAGCAGCTGCAGCAGGGCCGCATTAAGCTCAGCCTGTGGACACTACCGGATGTGCTCATACTGCATCTGAAAAGATTCCGACAGGTATATCAGCTCATCTAGACACTGTTTAAATAAAAATGTTAACCCAAAGATATTTTCCAGTGTTTCCTCTATACACCCATGTAATGGTGTCTATGAAATGACTGGATGTGCATTTTATGATAGGTTAGGGTCACAAAATGGTATTGGTTGTTATTGGGCCCTGAAGATTTGGGACAGCATGGCCTGATACCCCACTTTGTGGCCAGGTGATGGACAAGCATCATTTAACCTGAATATGGAGCTTCCATAATAATGCTCGTCCATCTTTAGCACATTTACTTGTGTATTGTTACAATCAATGTTCATGGTGATCATAAAACATGGTATCATATGATCCAGACGTGTAGGATATTGTATTCAACATTACTATGAAGAAGAAATTCCCACAGGGACCACACTGTGTCTGCATGCTGGTTGTTTTGGCCTGTGTCCTGGGATCAGACTCCTGTTTCTGTGTTTAGGCATTCATTCTTGTGTATTTAGTTCTACGACTATCCCGGTCTGCTGAGCCCTTTAAGTGTGAAAGGCACCCCACAGATTTACACACATAACCCTGTCTGTAATGATTCTAGGGGTGTTTGCACTATGTGGTTCAAAACTTTGTCAGATGTGTACTGCACTTAGCAGGTAAACTGGAGTTGTTCCTTCTGAGTCTGTGTCCTGCCCTCACTGTCAGGACGGGGACCGGAGAGTGAAGATGCAGAACATGGTGAGGTTCCCACTGATGGGCATGGACATGGCACCTCATGTGGTTAAGAGAAGCCAGAGCAGCTGGAGTTTACCTTCCCACTGGTCACCATGGAGACGACCCTATGGCCTGGGAAGGAACCCCAACGACTACCTGTATGACCTTTACGCCGTGTGCAACCACCATGGGAATATGCATGGCGGCCACTATACAGGTAACACTACAAACAACTGTAGCAGTTTAAAGATCACATTTGAAGAAGATTGGGAAGCCATGTCATCATTATCAACCCTTTCCTGTTTGTGCTTACAGCTTACTGCAAGAACTCTATTGATGGACAGTGGTACTGCTTTGATGACAGTGAAGTTTCACCAATAGCTGACGATGACGTCTGTCAGCAGACAGCCTATATACTGTTCTACCAGAGGAGAACAGCTATTCCCTCCTGGTCCGCCAACAGCTCTGTTGCTGGTCAGTGTCAAGTTCTGACAGTTTAACACCTGCCATATGTATAAGATGGTCATATTGTGATTAGGGCCATGGTGAGTTTTATTGCATTATGTGCCTGAACGTAGTAATGGCAGGATGACAGGGTTAATATATTTTGGAGAAGCTTTTCTATTCCTCATTATTTTTGTCGAATGTAATTTTGTTTATATTTCCTTGGGTTTTTAGAAGAGGTCTGTGCATTTGCTTTTCAGTTCCTACCTCTCATATACAAGCTTGTGTTAGGTTTAAATCCATAAAAATCTGTCAAAAATGTTGCTTTATACTGTAAAATGTGACTGTCTTAGAGTACATGTTTTAGGATGATTATTCATTTTGTAATGATTGTAGCTTAAGTGTTTGAAGGTTTAAATGAGACTGGAATGTTTATTGTTTCTTGGACAGGTTCCACCAGCTCATCCCTGTGTGAACACTGGATCAACAGGTTGCCAGATAGCAGGCCTGCTAGCTTGGCCTCTGGGGCCTCGTCCAGACGCACCTCTCTGGCCTCACTGGCCGAGTCGGTAGAGTTTCCAGGAGAACGTAGTGAGGATGATGGTGAGTCAGTGTTTATATGTTTTTTATTTATTTAACTGATTTACAAGTGGCAAACAGTTGTTCTTTGTAAACACCTGGACTTAACAAGTGCCAGCTCAAAAAAGACATTATTAAATTTGGTGTTACAAGGATGAGGCAGACATGATGTGCCCCATCTGACTGAGATGAAAACATGCTTTGCAGACTTTTGTGCTATGGAAAGTCTTGCATACCAAGTGAATCCAAGCTGAGACAGATGTTGGCATGAGCTTGTTTTTGTGGTTAATATAAATATGGGGCTCCAGAAACCTCCAGAATGCAGAGTTAGCATAGTCCCAGAAATGTTGGCAAAACAAACTGGCATTGAATTACATCTTTCATAGTTGGAGCTTTCTTGACCTTTTTTTCTGAAATGTTTAGGAGGATTCTCTGTCCGTCCTTTTGTGAGGAGCATTCAGCGTCAGAGCTTGTCCTCCAGGTCGTCCATCGCTAGTCCTTTAGCTTTGAGTGACAGTGGGATAAAGCCTTCTTGGTCCCTCTCAGCAAAGCTGCACATGAGATCCAACTCGCCCTCACGCTTTTCCCTTGACTCTCGGTGTTCTCCTCCTCTAGAGAGGATAGGAGAGGCCTATGATGACAAGGTCTCCACTTCCTGTTTTGGCAGCTACAGTAGACATGAACGGTACTTTGGCAGCAGGACTCCACTGTCTATGATGGAGAGCAACGTCAGTGACCAGGACAACAATAAACGCTTCCTAGACATGATGTACCGCAGGGCTCCCACTCCAGTGGAAAAGAAGAGCACCAAAAACGAGATGACTGAAAACAACAACCAGATTACAGCTATAGACCAAAACATAGTACCCACCCAAGCTACTCCCTCCAAAGAACAGAAACGTAAGAGCAGCATTGGAGGATTTGCTTCAAAGGCAGAAACCACAGGCTCCACAAAGAGTTCCAGCAAGTTGGAGCAAGAGAAAACTTCCAAAAAACGTTTGTGTTCAACCCACAAGACCTCCACCTCTGAGACATCTTCCAGTACACCTGTTAAAGCCAAAAAGGTGAGCAATACTAAAGAAAAGGGTGTCAGTGCTAAGAAAAGCACCCCAGTACCCACTGGGACTCCCTCTAAAACAAAAGGTGCAACTCAGTCTCTAGAAGCAACGCCACAAAATAAGCCATGTGCCCGCTCCACTCCTCAGTCTTCAGCTTCCCCCTCACCAACTGCTAAGAAGAGTTCCAGTGTCACAGAGAAAGGTTCTATGAGTAGTCGGAGGCGAATGGTAGAAAGGAGTTACAGCAGAGATTCTATGCACACTAGCAATCTGGTCGACAATTTCCGTGGCAGCTCAGTAGCTCGCTCTTCGCTGTCTAAGAGTGGGGAGTGCAACCGACTTGAAAGGAGATCTGTGAGGAGCTCGAGCAGCAGCTCTTCTGTCACTAGTCTGCGCTCACCAAGCGTGTCCACCAGAGATCTGCAGCGCAGCAGCAAATCTGAGGAAAAAGGCTTGTCTTTCTTTAAAAGTGCCCTCCGACAGAGGGAAAGCCGCCGGTCGGCTGATTTAGGAAAAAGCACCATGCTTGGCAAAAAGGCCTCAGAGAGGACATGCAAGCAGAATGGACAAGCTAAGGAGATCGGTGCTGATAATGGAAAGGCAGGAGATGCTGTGTCGTCACAGACTTCAACAGAAACTTATGGAGGTGAAACAAAGTCTGAGACAAAGGAGTCTTCCAAGCATCCCAGCTCTCTCAGTCGCACTCTATTAAATGTAGGCAAGTCCAAGTCTTCCGCTTCTGAAGTAAGTCTCAAGTCCCCCACAGATGGGAAGAAGCCTCTTGAGAAGATGGGATCTTCCCGAAAACTGTCATCAAGCATGCAATCTCCTGCTCGTCTAGTGCAGAGGCCTCAATGATATATCCATAGTAGGTACATTCAACTTATATAATGCAGCTGTTTTCTTTGTGCCTACGTTTGAGTGAGCACCAGACGTATTTGTAAAGAGACCATTTTTTGATGTTATGGTTTTATACACTGGCAGTAAATGCATATGATCGCTTTGAGGTTTGAATATTAGCAGTCAGCTTTGAGTAGTTACAATATACACTACTTTAGAATATTGTTATGGTATTTTATATAGCAGCACACACTAGAGTGGTGCATAGTCTTACCCGTTACATTTTTGAATGTCAGATATGATTTTGATGTGAATGAGAAAATGGAGTGCAAGCCTTGACACGCTTGCTGTTTTCTGACACGGAGGCTATATGAGCCTGCCATGTGCATTGACTGAGCTGCACATCCTGCTTGACTGTGTGTCCTAGAGACCTGTGTGGCAGCTGAAAGAATTCCATATTGGAATCCTGACATCCAGTTAAGTTTCCCTCAAACATGAGACTTGTTTTATCATTGTAGTTTCTTTAGTTTGCATACAAAATAACTCCAATAGAAAAACCAGATTTAAAATACAGTCCCTTGTACCGACAAAGAATTAAGGGGGTAAAAAACATTTTTTCTTTGTATGCACCTCCAAGGGAGAAATAGTTTTGCATAGTAACATTTTTACCCGATATAGATTGACTGGTTGTTGATGCTTAAACCTCACTGCTGTTCTATAAGCATTTAAAACTCAACAGTAAGAAGAGGAACGTAACATTGACAGGAGTCTCTTAATAAATACTTTTTCACACATGTACACACACATATACAAAAGAGTTTCATTCCGAAATAACTGTGGCTAAACGTTTGTAGTAAATGTCATCGACCATTTTAATCAATTTGTTTTTCCACACACGCACTCAATACATGTTCATGCATCAGCTAATAGGGGTACAGTGAGTGGTATATGTCTGAGGCTGTGGAAGGACAGACATTAGCAGACTATATGTACTCATAAGCAATTTATTACCATGGGTCTTGAGAGTGTGTAGGATTGATATGGAGTAGAAGTAACAAACGAGTCATTATATGAACGTAAAATAATAGTTGTGATCTGTGATGGCAGGCGCTGGACCAAAACACATGAGGATTTGGGATGAGAAAGAATTAGAATTGGTACAAAAACTAAGAAAAGTTTGCAATATTTTGTAATGTTATTTTTGTTAAATATGAGTACTCTTTTGATAGAAATGCATTTTAAATGCTTAATATAGTTAACTACTTTTGTCTCAAAATGTATGATGTGTTTATGAAACCCGTTTTCTTTCCATGAGCAAGAGGAAAATATTCTTAAGCGCTTTTTTTATAGTGTACATGGAAACAAATAACTGCCTTTGGCAACATAGTAATCTACAACTCTATGGATCACTGAGTAGGAATGTTGTGTTGCTCGCACTTTGTATAGATAAACTAGTTTTCTTTAACCCAGACAATTAACATATCTACACTCTGTTGCCAGTTTATTAGGTACACCTAGCTAAAACTAATGCAGCCTGGTCTTATGTTAGACTGCATTAGCTTTAGCTACGTGTATCTATGAAACGGCCAACAGAGTGCATTCACCCACTCTAACAGTGGAATTATATAGTTTTTAATATGTTGCCTTTACATGATTGGTGTTAACAGGCCTTTGACTTGAACTGGTAGAAAGGGTACATTCATCTCAATGTTTCAGGGGTCATTTTAAGAAATCACCCCTTTACAACACCTGGTGCTGTAACAGACCACTGCTCCTCTGGCACTGATGTTACTTAAATGAGCATATTTTCAAATGCTCATTTCTGATGTCCACAACTGTGACCACACACTTCAGTGAACTGGAAACCTGTTGACAGCGTTTATCCTAACCTGTGGTACCTCATTAGAGAGGACAGCACTTTTTTTGCTTCATCAGGCTGAATCAGAACATGGATAATGAGCCATTTCATTAATCATAGAACCACATTTACATTGTCGTTGAGAGGTTGCCTTTATGCGGATACATAGGTTTTCAGCTATCAGACGCTGTATGGCATAAGTAGTTTTCAGTAAATCTACAGAAGCAGAGGCAGGACAGTATCACTGAAACTGTCGTCATTCTCGCAGGCTTCATTTTGACCGATGAGCTTCATCATTGCAGATTAACCACAATATTCATACAGTACATTACAGCATAGTGTATGTTTTTAAGGAATGAATGTGGGCTATGCCATTAAAATCCGACCATTAGTAAGTAGTTTTTTACGTTAAGCATTAACATAATCTTTGAATTGTAGATCTACAGTATCTGTCTCAGTTGTTTCTCTATAGCATCTACCAGGTTTAAATCGGTTCTCAGATGGTTTCAGTAGAAGTACCACTCAGTTTAAAGGTTTAAGTGTGTTATTTAAATGGCCTGTACAGGGTTATGCAGCCCTGATGTGCCTGTCTTCTTTTACACCTTATGATATAAAACACTAGTTGTATGTAACATAGTCATGCCTCCTGTTTCTGGAGGGCAGGTTGAAAGCTTGTTTTCTAACCAGACATAGTAGTGAACCGTTCATCAGTGCATTATTGGCTGATGTAGCCTAATTTCTGTATGGTGATGCTTTTAACCCAAATTTTACTCTGCAAATTAGGCCATGGACACAGCAGAGATAAGTTATATATTTATTTACTTCTGCTTTTACTTTGGTACATTTCTCAGTGCACGTCTTGTCTAAAACAAAACCAGAGCATCATATATGATATTTGCAAGAAAAAACATTTAAAGGTACACCTCAGCCGGTTTTCCTGTTAAGTGATGAGCGTTATTGACACTAAAATCCTCTTTCTATCCTCAGGATGTTTTTATCACTGTGTTCTCCATTGATTTAACATAGTGTGCTGTCCTTAGGTGTTAAAATGGAGCTGTGGAAACGTTATCTGCTGCAGACCTCTGATTTTTCTGTCCGTATCCTCATCACTCTACAGTGTCCCAACACTTTGTAGGACCCTTTTAAAGTCCTATTTGTAGTATTGTGTTCAAACTGTTGCAGACCATATAGATAACATACTTATTGACTGTGGTGGTATTCCTGTAGCTGCTCTTTTCTACTTAGTATTATAATCTGTCAGGAAGCTGTGCGTGGGAGTTTGGATCAAAGCAGGGAAATCGTATGTCATTTTGGCTTTGGCCATCTTGTTTACCTGTGTTTAAAGTCTGTAATTAAGTTGTAATGGCTTGTGTGTAGTTCATTGGATTATTGATCCATTAATGTAGCCAAAATCCAGTGCATTACGAACGATGCCCCTCACTTTTGATATTTTTGTTTAATTTTTATTGGTCACTGTAAACAAAGATCATATAAATTGCTAATAATACAGTATACACATTTTTTGTTTCTGTTCAGCGCTAAAATCAGAAAGCAGCTTATTCCTGTTTTTCCCAACTTTTTCATTCATCCTAAACAGTTGTTTATCGCCAGCACACTGCCTAATTTATTGTTTTATTTTTACAGCATGTAAAATTAGATTATACACGGTTGTTGAGTAGTTAGCTTGATGCCACTGTAGCAGGCAGCTCCTTCAGTAGTAACTTAGTGGTACTGTATTTTTGGAAGAGGTCTGTAGTGTATGTGTGTCGCTGTTCCAGAGCCCAGTGATTTGAATCTCTTTGGCATCTCTTTAGTTTATTATGTCACAGGAATTTGTGACCAACAGAACTTTAATCATTAGATTCCATTCAGAAAACAAGCAAACAAGAAAAGGTTGGTTTTATTATGGTACTAGTGGTAGAGCAAAAATCATGTCACTGTTTGATGTTCATCAGACTAAAGGATGCGAGCTTCGAACAATCAAAAAGTGGAGCATGGCTGACTTGTCAAACCAGACAAGTACTGTACTCCATATGAGAAGTTACACAGTATGTTCAATTAATCCAAATGCATACCTGTCGAAACAAAATGTAGCTGTTGTCTGTGGTTCTCTGCTTTGAATGACTGGGGAATGTAGTATTGCATGAAAACACTAATGCATGTATTTCATTAACTATGCAAGAGGTTGTGTACAGTAGAAAGCAGAGCATGGCTGTTGTACTCTGTTGCTTAATTTGCACACCATTCCAATATTTAGAAACTGTAAATTACAAATGATTTCATCTGTACAGTTACAAGGATTAAACATAAAAAATCTTGCATATATGGAAACCTATTTGATACCATAATTGCTTTTAGCATTTGACCATTAGATATTTATAATTTAATCATTTTATTTCTATTTCTGCCTATCTGTGTTCTCTGGGTGCTCCTACCAAACTGGTAGATTTTTATTTTTATTTCTTTCTTTTTTTTTGAACAAGTTTTGTACGACTCACCAGCAGAGACAACATGTGATGATCTCTATGTGGTTACTAGCCTCATCTATTGTGGAGAAGAAAAAAAAAATCCAATAATTCTCTTCACTGATTAGAGTTTGTGAACCCCTGTTCAGCTGCATCAGATGCGACAAGTCTCCAATATAAATATATATAGCTAAATGCAATAAAGAAAGATTAAATTTATAGTTTTATATTATACTATATAATGAGCAGCACCTTTCAAAATAAATGTTCACTTAATACCTTTTGTAGTGGTTATGCCACATCAATAGTTTTAATCGTGATGTGATTTTTATTATTTTTTATTCAAAGTGGGTGGTTTATCAGCAAGCAAACAGCAACTTCTAAACATGCTTTAAGGCAGTGCCACTCATTCTTCTGATGGATGGTAAGTGGGTATAAAACATTAATCACTCTGATTGATAAAATGCATACAGGCTTCCCTGCAGAAGTTAACTATGAAAATTCTGCACCGAGTTATTGCTGTGACACAGCGGTTTAACAATTAGGTCACAAAAAAGTTGCATGTTTTCAAGGTGAAACAGATAAGATGGTCCACAACATTTCCGTGTGAGTATTTTGCCTCTGAAACAACATTGCAATAACCACTGAAACAGAAATGCTGAAATCCTACAGACTCTTCAGATGCTATAGAAGTGATGTCATTAATATTTAAAGTAACCCGTGAGTGCAAGGTAAAATCAGTTTTCCTTTAGGGCAGGTAGGTGAGGTTTTTGAGACCACTTTTCAGATGAAAACACTACAAATAAATGATACTGAAGCCTTAAACAAAACCAATTGTAATGGAAAGTTTGTGTCTTTGGCTGATACAGAAACTAAGGAGCTGTGTAATGAGTGAATGTCCTGAGTCTATTTTCATTTTGTTTAAGCTAACGTAAAGACACTATAGTGCTAAATGCATACTATGTTTCTCCATTGGCCATTTGGTCTGTTGGCTTTTATTTTAAATACATCATTCATAAGAGCATTTTGTAAAATATTGTTGCATTTATTGTGAAGTTTTGTTCCCACTTATTAAGGCTTTTTGACTGTATTCATTGTTGTACCAGGCTCATGAGGTTGTTATTGACTTTATTGCATTGTCTGAACTGGCTTGATTTATATATTTTTTAAACATTATGGCCTCAAAGCAGCATTTTTCCTGTTTATAAAATTTTTTCTAACCTGTTTTTGAGCAAAACTGTTTTAACATTCAGTAATCTAAAGTACCTTACACTGTGTCAGTCTTTTATGTTAATTTATTTCTCTGCTGTTACCATATATGCACTTTCACATTTTTTTTAATTTCTTCAAAAGGACAGATTTGTATATACTTTGTTGGTTTATCCAAACAGGTATAACATGAAAACCTTATTAAAAATATTGAAACTGCAGCATCTCTTATCATTTTGTGCTGTTTTGCGTTACACTTGTTCCAACACTAGAGGGAGCTTTTCTCTAACAAACTGCACTTCAGCATGACTGCTGCATTTCACTGGTTCATAGACTCATTGATATAGCATTAAAATTTACCAGAGGCAGTAACAAGTGTAACCACACTCACAAAATGGGCTCAGTCTACACATCTGCCACTGTCCTAACTTTGTCTTCATAGAAGCATTTGTATTCTCACGGTTATCACGAGCTGTTCTGTAGCAGTAAGACATTTTGAAGCTGTTTTTACTGGAATGTCCAAAGATTGCCCCGTTATCCCTAGATCTAACTGGGTTCCAACCAAATGTATGAGCACACAAATCTACTGCTCATTGTCTCGCTGCTGAAGAGACTGTGTCTGTTGTCTGGCACCTCAAGGCTGCACAACACATGAACGTCTCTAAATTTTGGTGCACGATTATTATTTCAGCCTTTTCGGCTGTAGAATATAAAGTTGCAGAAACTGGGATGTGCAGATTCAAGCATGTCTGAGTTCAGTTT